TTATCCATAGAAATCTAACAAATAGGTATGGTCTGTATCCATAGAAATCTAACAAATAGGTATGGTCTGTATCCATAGAAATCTAACAAATAGGTATGGAATATCTCTACAGAAATCCATGAACTAGATATGAATCATCTCCATATATATCCAACAAATAAGTAGTAATAGATATCCATTATGACCCTTATATTTTAACAACACTATGGACATCTGACTTAATATTCTCTGATATGGTAAAGACATTATGGACATCTGACTTAATGTTCTCTGATATGGTAAAAACATTATGGACATCTGACTTAATGTTCTCTGATATGGTAAAGACATTATGGACGTCTAACTTAATGTTCTCTGATATGGTAAAGACATTATGGACGTCTGAGTTAATGTTCTCTGATATAGTAAGGCACTATGGTCATCTTAGTGTTCTCCAATATAGTAAAGACACTATGGTCATCTTAGTGTTCTCCAATATGATAAAGACACTGTGGACATCCTACTGAGTATTCTCCAATATGGTAAATACACTGTGGACATCTTACTTAGTGTTCACCAATGTGGTAAAGACACTATAGACATCTTAGTTAGTGTTCTCGAATATGGTAGACATCTTACTTAGCATTCACCAATGTGGTAAAAACATTATGAACATCTGACTTAGTGTTCCCCGATATAGTAAAGACACAATGGACATCTGACTTAGTATTCTCCAATGTGGTAAAGACATTATGGACATCTTACTTAGTGTTCTTGAATATGGTAGACACTATAGACATCTTAGTTAGTGTTCTCCGACTTTGTAACTTTTGTAATTTACACAGTTTGAAAAGTGTGCTTTCATAGCAACTAGGATATGACATTTTTTAGCTCTAATAAGACAAATATCGAATTTAAATACCTTCTACCAAAAATAACCCATTCATTTTCATACAATTGAGTTCCTTGTTCACTGTCTCAAAGAATGGAGCACGATTTTTGTTTCATGGATTAAAGAAAACTATGATCTCTAAGATTAATTAATTAAATTCTTCATGATCAACTATTATCTCTAAGATTAATTAATTAAATTGTTCATGGATCAACTATGATCTCTAAGAATTAATTAATTAAATTGTTCATGGATCAACTATGATCTCTAAGAATTAATCAATTAAATTGTTCATGGATCAACTATGATCTCTAAGATTAATTAATTAAATTGTTCATGATCAACTATGATATCTAAGAATTAACTAATTAAATTGTTCATGGATCAACTATGATCTCTAAGAGTTAATTAATTAAATTGTTCATGGATCAACTATGATCTCTAAGATTAATTAATTAAATTCTTCATGGTCAACTATGATCTCTAAGATTAATTAATCAAATTGTTCATGATCAACTATGATCTCTAAGATTAATTAATCAAATTGTTCATGATCAACTATGATCTTTAAGATTAATTAATTAAATTGTTGATGGATCAACTATGATCTCTAAGATTAATTAATTAAATTTTTCATGGTCAACTATGATATCTAAGATTAATCAATTAAATTGTTGATGGATCAACTATGATCTCTAAGAATTAATTAATTAAATTGAGACGCCAACCATTAGGAAACACCTGGCCTGATCTACATCTCCAACTTGCAGATGAAAGTTATTGAACTGTAAGTTTGTGATAAACATGAAAATTGTTAAACCGAGAGAATGTTTGTTTTTAATCGCTGATTTAATCTCTGCTTTGCCCGCCACAGGTATCTAAACCCGGTTTTTAGGGTTAGAAGCTTTCAGTCTTACTGTTGACCCACTGAGGACGCTATAGTATGTAAAATATACTGAGGTGGTTTGCTCATTATAAACAATCCTGTTATTTGTTATTAAAATAGCAGAAGTTAAGAACCGGTGCTCGAGATTCAGAACACAAATTATATGTATTACGACTTTTTGTTGTTTCGAATATATTCAATGGTAGAATGTTTATTTTATGCAGTTATACTGTTGGACTGTGAATTATGTTATAAAAGTAATTATACAACGGTTTCGTTTCTTCCCATGTTATTATTGTCCTGAGACAACTGTACCTGATCACATTACTAATAATAACTTGACAAAGGTTTTGTTATTTCTGTCCTGAGACAAGAGTGCCATGATCACAATGGAGTCATATCTACCAACACATTGTAAATACTTATAACTCCTAGAGGATGATAAACAGTAACATTTTGTTATAGATCTAGTTTCTAAAGATGTACATTATTTATGAAATACACAAATTCATCTGAATCATGGAACACGAAACCCCCTCTCCTCTAGACACAATACGAAACCCCCTTTCCTCTAGACTCAAAACGAAACCCCCTCTCCTCTAGACACAAAACGAAACCCCCTCTCCTCTAGACACAAAACGAAACCCCCTCTCCTCTAGACGCAATACAAAACCCACTCTCCTCTAGACACAATACGAAACCCCCTTTCCTCTAGACGTAAAACGAAACCCCCTCTCCTCTAGACGCAATACAAAACCCACATACAACTACCACCACTTTATCACATCCACAAATTCAGACATCTTGTTTATTTGTTGAAAACATACAGTCGAATTGAGTGAGTCCTAAAATTTACTTAGGCACTTTATTGTACACAACTCCGTTTTTACCTTGTGAATAAAAATTATATATTGCCGCCATTTTGTTTGACTGATATTAGCCCTCGTTTTTATAAAATCGTATGTAGAGGGGGTTAAATAACCCCCATATTTATCTACCACTAGTCAGCTAACACTTGTTTTTGTTACGTAGTCACTACTTTATAAGCAAATAGTGCCAGAACATTTCCTAACAGACATATTTCTTCACCAGAGAAATTATCCCTTGCCAACAAGGGGATGTTGATACAAGACATCAGTTCTTCGCTTATCTTGTGGTACGAGGAGGAAAACTGATAAACTTGAAACATCAGTTCTCTGCTTGTCTTGGTAGAAGTTTTGTTGCGTGATCTGACGTTTTTAATTGATGTTAATAGGTGGGGAAGCTTCGAATGTCACGTGATATGTATTTTCTTCAGAATAGTAAACCTACTTATGGGACGCAGAGGTGGGTGTTGTAAACCATTACCATGCTATGTGTTGTACCATATAAAAACATTCCAGGGGCTATTAATAATGGCTCTACAAAGTAATTAGACGTTTTCCAGACTTGTGACCTTTAACCGGAGTCACAAATGAATGTTTATGGTATGTTTTGAATATAATAACCTATAACAATTTGACAAAAAGGAGTCTGTAATTATTTTATTTCTTGACATCTTTCTAATCCCTTTTAGACCATCATTTCTAAAATAAAGTTAAAATTTTATTTTGCCTAATCACTTTGTTTAAAGGACATTGACTAATCCTGTAGTTTGTTAAATGTACGACAGATGTCACTGAGAGAAATCTTACGACATCATCGATGTTTTGAATGACTTTTTAAAAATAGTGCCAGTGATTCATTTATAAAGAAGTTTCTGTGAGTGTGAACTGTTTTTTTGCTAACTTGACCATGACTTTTCAGTGTTGTCTACTTTAACTGTCTTTTCATGATTTAGGAAAATAAAAGTATGATCAACAAAGAATGGTTATATTCATGGAAAATATTATCTTTGTATTTAAATGGTTTCGTAACTTGTAACTGATATAACATTGTTGACATGGTAAAGCTCTATCTATAGATAATGATTCTAATTCAATTTAAACTAATTATGTAAAGAATTGTGCACCAAGAATATGTAATAATATTGACATCAACTACAGCTACACATATTGGTTGTTGTTGTTGTTGTTTTTTTACCCATAACCATACTTTTATAGTGCCTGTTGTCATTGTTATTTCAAACTAATCTTATGATAAGGCAGGTACAGTCAGAAACATTTTGATAGTAGCAAATATTGTGTAGTAACTCATTATATGTAAAGTCGTTAAATTAGAAGAAGAGATGCCCAAAAAATCAAACTAGAAGACAAGATCTTCACAAGCTAAACAAGGAAGATAGTAGCCCCAAAAATTAAATGAGGAGGAGAGCCCCAACATATTAAACTAGACTAAGAGATGTCCAACATATTAAACTAAAAGACGAGATGTCCAACATATTAAACTAAAAGACGAGATGTCCAACATACTATACTAAAAGACGAGGTTCTCATAAGCTAAAGAAGGAAGATGAGAGTTCCAACAAATTAAACTAGAAGACGAGATACCCAACAAATTAAATCAGGAGGAAGAGAACATCAACATATTAAACTAAAAGACGAGATGTCCAACATATTATACTAAAAGACGAGGTTCTCATAAGCTAAAGAAGGAAGATGAGAGTTCCAACAAATTAAACTAGAAGACGAGATACCCAACAAATTAAATCAGGAGGAAGAGAACATCAACATATTAAACTAGAAGACGAGATGCCCAACATATTATACTAGAAGACGAGATGCCCAACAAATTAAACTAAAAGACGATATGTCCAACATATTTTAGTTTAATATGTTGGACATCTCGTCTTCTAGTTTCAGGAAGACGAGATGTCCAACAAATTAAATCAGGAGAAAGAGAACCTCAACATATTAAACTAGAAGAAGAGACGTTCAACAAATTAAGCTAGGAGACGAGATTCCTACAAGTTAAACCAGGAGGGGGAGAAGGCCCCAATAAACTAAAGTAGATGTAGAGATGTCCAACAAATTAAACTAAAAGATGAGATATCCAATATATTAAACTAGAAGACGAGATGTCCAACATATTAAATCAGGAGGAAGAGAACATCAACATATTAAACTAGAAGACGAGATGCCCAACATATTATACTAGAAGACGAGATGCCCAACAAATTAAACTAAAAGACGATATGTCCAGCATATGAAACTAGAAGACGAGATGTCCAACAAATTAAACTAAAAGATGAGATATCCAATATATTAAACTAGAAGACGAGATGTCCAACATATTATACTAG